CTCTCGCCGAATATAACTTCATTAAAAATGAGCTATATTGCACTGATTAAACTGATTACAGAATCTGATGAATTGATTCGTTTGCACTTACAATCGACGATAAAGAGGTTGTCGCTTGGAACACGCGAAACAACTAGCGATTCATTCTCCGATAATTTATTCTTTCGCGTATTTGCGAATGTTCAGTATATAAAAATTACGATCAAGAGCAGTAAATATACGGTTAAACTGGATGATTTCGAGACTGTCACATGTCAAATCTTTCCATTCGTTGGCGTCAACACTTGTCCAAGATGTTTTTAATCGTTTTAGTTGTTGAAATATAGTTAAATATGAGCGAATAACCGTGAAATTGTCTAATGGTGGTGTGTTCAGTGTGAGACGAGTAACATATTGGAACGCTGTATGTTTTGGTAGAAGAACTGCATCACAGTTATTTGCACATTTAATGCTTAATGTTAATGTTTTTACTTTTGGCGCAAACACGTCCAGTATTCCTAAATCTAGGTAACCCCTTAAATCAATAGATAAAGTTTCAACATTTGACGAAGACGAGATGCTCGTTAAGGCAGTGTTTAAACCTTCTCTATTTCTGATGTGAAGTGCTGTTAAACGTGGCATGTGATCACAAATACATTTGAATAATCGATTAACAAGATAGGCACCAATATATTCACCTTGATTAATGTCTACAGTGAATGTTAACAAATGATTCAATTTCGGCAACGCCTGCATAACACTGTCCATTTCCAGTTCATTTACTTTTAATAAAATTAAGGCTTGAAGGTGAACAAAACACTCAAAACTGAAATATGAGCGAAACATGGCGTAACCTCGAATTGTCGGAGGCTCATTTGATACGATGACTGATCGAATTTGATCTGGGGAAATATTGATAAAAATATACGTGCAATATTGATTGAATTGTGTTTTGGACATATTCCTCATATCAACGTGACGATAAATGATGGTGTCGACAAGGTCATTGAATCTCAAAGTTATACCGTTGAAGGATCGAAATACATCCGATGATGATAGGTAACGAAAGATTTCGAGCCATATTTCGTTTGGTAGACGGTCCATGTCATATGAAAAGTGTTTGACTTTTACTTTTACATGTGATAATGAAGAAGATAAAGTATTAAAACGTAAAATCTCACATGTTTCTACCTTTCGTTCTTTTAGCGAGATTAGTATGGTATTACGCAATATCATTTTTTGTGAGTTCTACCACGTAAACTAACTTGAATGCGTAGCTTTTTGAAGCTGCAAATCACAGCCCCAAGTACTCATCTAGAGAAGTCGATAGTGCACATTATTCATTTGTTGTTAATCTAAGACAAAGCGTATCACGAAGTTATACCGTTGAAGGATCGAAATACATCCGATGATGATAGGTAACGAAAGATTTCGAGCCATATTTCGTTTGGTAGACGGTCCATGTCATATGAAAAGTGTTTGACTTTTACTTTT